TTCAAATACCAAATTTGAAACAATTCCGGTAAATAATGTCGCTAAAATCATCAAAATACCGAATATCGGAGGGTACCGTTATATGGGGGCTATACGAAGACGTGGACCTATATGACCGATTTTCTGTCTTAAGCTGTAGTATCCATTACGAACTTCAAATTCCAAAATTTGAAACAACTCTGGTAAATATTGTCGCTAAAATCATACAGCCTATTACAGAAAATTGTCTGTGCAGGTCAACGTCTTCCTATAGGCTCCATATATCAGTACCTCCCTATATTCGGTATTTTGCCAGTTTAGGTACAATACCCACCGATGTTGTTTAAGATGTCGTATTTAAACTTCGTAATGGATGTTACAGCCTCTGACAGAAAATTGTCTGGCTGGTCTAGGTCTTCACACAGCTCCGATATAATTTTGATGATTTTAGCTACATTATTGACCGTATATTTCAAGTTTTCGAATTTGAATATGGTAATGGCTTATGACAAGCAATGCCTTTGTAGGTCCACGTCGTATAGACCCCAATAAAACGGCTATATTCGGTATTTTTAAAATACCGAAAATTTCCAAGTTCATTCCAAATGGGTATTCATTGTTCTTTAACTTGTTTTTCTTTTTGGAAGAAATATATACCTTACTTCAGAGGTGTTTATATTTGTGATAAATTACCTGAAAGCCATATCGAACATAATGTGGTGTCATAAATTTGGATGTTAGTAGTGCAACTGGTACGCACTGGATGGCATACAATAAAAAAATATCGACTATTACGACAGTTTTGTTAATCTTTAAAATGCGGTAGAAATTTTGCGTTCTTTGGGACCATCTACTACATAAATTTATTTAAGAGATCAACGCTTTTATACATACTCATCTTTGTTTAAAGATTATATTCGACATGAGTAATATTAATCTAGTATAATTCAACTTTTCTAAGAAAATGTGTGATATTAATAGATCGGATATTGCATTGCTTGATTTTCAATATTGTCATGGAAATCACAAGAAGAAGTATAATTTTCGTGTGGTGATTCTGTTGGTCCAGATTATTTTTTGTTTCGTTCACCTTTTAATATAAAAGAACTTACTGGGGAAGCATGCAGAGTAAATGCCTACATCAAGACACATTAAATTGGACGGGTAGAGAAATCAGTTATAATGATGTCGAAAGAGTTCTCAAACCGTTAAAAAACTATCAATACATTTTTGTCGTTGGACAAGAGAAGAAAATCTTTGAACAGAAATATCTACATTCAACCATTATAAATTAGAAAAATAATACGAAAATAATATGAATTATTTAAGAAACTGCACCATACATTTGGACTCTAGATTTAAGTGTGCTGTAAATAATATATATAAGATATTTGTATTCATTGAACAAAACTGGAAAGAGCTTACATATTTTATGATGAAATAAATAAAGATAATAAAAATAACAAGTAAAAAAGTAGTAAGTTCGGCCGGGCCGAACTTTGAATACCCTCCACCATTTGGAACGAATTAGAAAATTTTCAAAAAAAATAAAATCCAATCTTTTAAAATCTTTAAAATAACTAATATAGGAAGGTGCCGATATATGGGGGGATATACGATATTGTGGGCCTATAAAGACAAATCTATGTCTGCGTGTAATGTACTCACAAGGAACTCCGTGTGTGGATTTTCAGACAAAACGATTGGAAAATGTGGCTAAAATCATCAAAATAACGAATATCGCGGGGTACCGTTATATGGGAGCTATACGTTATCGTTAACCTATATAGAGAATTCTCTGTCGGTGGGTAAAGTGCTCACAAAGAACCCCTTGTGTACAAAGAACCCCTTGTGACCATTCCGTTGAAAAATATGGCTAAAAACATCAAAATACCCAATATCGGGGGTACCGTTATATGAGGGCTATACAATATCGTGGACCTATATAGATAATTCTCTGCCGAGGTATAAAGTACCCACAAGGAACTCCTTGTGTGGATTTTCAGACAATTCCGATGAAAAATGTGGGTCAAATCATAAAATACCGAATATCGGGAGGTAGCGTTATATGGGGGATATACGATATCGTGGACCTGTATAGACAATTCTCTCTCAGGGGGTGAAGTACTCACAAGGAACTACTTGTGTTGATTTTAAGACAATTAAATTGAAAAGCGTGGCTAACATCATCAAAATACCGAATATCGGAGGTTACAGTTATATGGGGGATATACGATATCGTGGACCTATATAGACACTTCATTTTGAGTAGGTAAAATGCCCACAAGGGACTCCTTTTGTGGATTTTCAGACAATTCCGTTGACAAATGTGGGTAAAATCATCAAAATACCGAATATCGGGGGGTACCGTTATATGGGGGCTATACGATATTGTGGACCTATATAGATAATTCTCTGCCGAGGTATAAAGTACCCACAAGGAACTCCTTGTGTGGATCTTCAGACAATTCCGATGAAAAATGCGGGTCAAATTATAAAATACCGAATATCGGGAGGTACCGTAATATGGGGGATATACGATATCGTGGACCTATATGGACAGTTCTCTGCCGAGGTATAAAGTACCCGAAAGGAACTACTTGTGTTGATTTTAAGACAATTCCGTTCAAAAATGTGGGTAAAATCAGCAAAATACCGAATATCTGGGGGTACCGTTATATGGGGGCTATACGATATTGTGGACCTATATAGATAATTCTCTGCCGAGGTATAAAGTACCCACAAGGAACTCTTTGTGTTGATTTTCAGACAATTCCGTTCAAAAATGTGGGTAAAATCATCAAAATACCGAATATCGGGGGGTACCGTTATATGGGGGCTATACGATATTGTGGACCTATATAAATAATTCTCTGCCGAGGTATAAAGTACTTACAAGGAACTCCTTGTGTGGATTTTCAGACAATTCCGTTGAAAAATGTGGGTAAAATCATCAAAATACCGAATATCGGGGGGTACCGTTACTTGGGGGCTATACGATATCGTGGACCTATATGGACAATTATCTGCCGAGGTATAAAGTACCCACAAGGAACTCCTTGTGTGGATTTTCAGACAATTCCGTTTGAAAAATGTGGGTAAAATCATCAAAATACCGAATATCGGGGGGTACCGTTACATGGGGGCTATACGATATCGTGGACCTATATGGACAATTCTCTGCCGTGGTATAAAGTACCCACAAGGAACTCCTTGTGTGGATTTTCAGACAATTCCGTTGCAAAATGTGGGTAAAATCATCAAAATACCGAATATCGGGGGGTACCGTTACATGGGGGCTATACGATATCGTGGACCTATATGGACAATTCTCTGCCGAGGTATAAAGTACCCACAAGGAACTTCTTGTGTGGATTTTCAGACAATTCCGTTGAAAAATGTGGGTAAAATCATCAAAATACCGAATATCGGGGGGTACCGTTATATGGGGGCTATACGATATCGTGGACCGATATAGCCCATCTTCGAACTTGACCTGCTTGCAGACAAAAGAGAGATCTGTGCAAAATTTTAGCTTCCTATCTTAATTCGTTTAGACTGTAGCGTGATTACAACAGACGGACGGACAGGGCTAAATCGTCTTAGAATTTTACGCTGATCAAGAATATATATACTTTGTTGGGTCTAAAATGATTATTTCGATGAGTTACAAACGGAGTGACGAACTTAATATACCCTCCATACCTTTTTTGGTGGAGGGTATAAAAACAAGTAAAAATGCTGTAAGTTCGGCCGGGTCGAACTTTTAATACCCTCCACCATTTGGTACAAATTTGGCAATTTCCAAAAAGAACAAAATTAAATCCGTTAAAAATTCTGTTAAAATTTTAAAAATACCGAATGCCTATACGTCGAGGTAGGCCTGCATAAGCAACTTTTGTCATAAGTTATTACAATATTTAAATGCGAAACTTCAAGAAAAATCTGTTTATAATGTAGCTGAAATCGTCAAAATACCGAATATAGAGGGGACCGTTATATGGGGGCTATACGAAGACGTGGACGTGTATTCACTGCGAACTTCAAATGCCAAATATGAAACAATTCCGATGAATTATGTCGCTAAAATCAACCGAATATCGGGAGGTACCGTTATATTGGGGCTATATGATAACTTGGACATACATGGCCCATTAACGAACTTAACCGGCATACCGGCAAAATATACATGAGTGCAAAATTTTAGCCTTCTATCTCAATTTGTTCGAAAGATAGCGTGATTACAACAGACAGACGGACATGGCTAAATCGTCTTAGAATTTTACGCTGATCAAGAATATATATACTTTGTTGGGTCTGACATGAGTATTTCGAGGAGTTACAAACGGAATGACAAAATTAATATACCGTCCATAGTATGGTGGAGGGTATAAAAAAGAACGTAATTTTAATAAAGATGTAGCAATGAAATAAGTAATAAGTAATACACTCTTTAAAATAACATTTAAGGACATAAAACTTGACATTCCTATTTCTTTTATTATTTTTCGTAAATTAGTTCAAGGTAAAAACTGGGAAGTGAACTATGGGTTTCGATTTTCAGATTACAATGATCTGCAGTTAAAATTATACTTAATATAGAATAACATATTTTCGGACCATTTCTAGTCAAATAAAGTGTATATAGGTGAGAAAAATTTTTTTTGATGTAGCTCCCATCTTAATATTACATCAAATTTTATGTGAAATACAATTTAGGCACAACTGCAACTGTATCAGAATAAACATGCGTTACAAATTCTTATAACTTTTTTCTAGTGGTTCTGATTTTATTTACTATTTGATAATGGAAACAGTATGCCGCTAGTTGATTAATAGTACAGATTTTTTTGATGTGTACAAATTCTGTAAATAAATTATTTTTACGTTATAAATTCGAGAAACTGATTAAATTTAATGTTTACATTTTCTTCCCAACATTTATTTTTATAAATTCAGAAATTATTGATAATAACAATATAGCTATGAATAAGAAATATGACTAAATGTTTTATACTTACTTATTGTACAAAACGATGTCCGGACGCCATATATGATCTGACGGTACATGGAGCATATGTACTCCACCATATTCCTTGGGTTCCCATCTTAGTTTATAATCGTACCATGATTGCTCAACCCATAAGTTGGTTGTCATAATTTGATTTTTCAAATTCTAAAATTAAATTTTAGACAAAATGTTGTTAATAACATTAATAAGAAAATTGGCAGTATCATGATTAGTTGGACGTAAAATGTATGAAAGCACTTAAAAACGAATTCAGGGAAAATACAATTTTCTTTAACAATAAATAATTTAAAGCGTATTATACTATCCTACTCGTTTAATGCCAAAGGTTAGAAATGACCGCTAGCATTGAAGTAAAGAACCGCTAGTAAGATGAACTATATTGATATCGAAAGCTCATTAATTCTCATATTTACAGTAACTAGTTCTAATTTAGACGCACACACTCAGCAACCATTTCACTGAAAAATTATCATTTTAGTGCTTTATAAATGCTTGCCAAAAACTTTAAAACTTGTCACTATTACTGCGAAGATTTGAGGTCGAAATTGTAAGGATTTCAAAGATTGGTTAGGTAACGATATCCTTCAAATCAACATTAACAAAAAATCTTTCAGCTACAATTTTGTGTTACGGAGCTATGAATATTAATACCTAATAAATGTCGGTAACTATTTTGTATTGGTATGGGTATTGAGTGTTCGGCTGATCGAACTTAACGCGTTTTCACTTTTTACATTGTCGACGATAAAACAATCTCGTGAGCGACTTGTTAATATAGAGTTATTAGCTTGATAACAATAATATAATAAATGCTTTGTAGAATGAGTATAATCTTCAAACTTACTGATTCAAAAGATTACAAATGCACCGCACGGAGCCAATCTTTTAAGCCTGTTTCTACTCTATGTCTGTAAGAACAATATTTTTTACAATTTGATGTGCTTAAAAGTTTTGTTTTCCCTTAATTGGTAATTCGCATTACACTTTGTAAGTGTAGACATAATATATGACCTATTACGATCTGTCACTTTTAACTATTTCCCCAAGATATCATATTTTTTATTGATATATAACACGTTCGTCAGTAAACCTCAGCAGCTGGGACCTTTATACATTTAAAGTACCCACTTTTCGCAAATTAAACAACAAATAAAATCGATATACAGTTTTATGCAAAAATTTTCCCATCCCAATAATGAAAAGTGATAAAATGAGTACTACATGTTCAGGTAAGGGTAAACACCATATGATCAGTATTTACACGCAAATAAAATTGGAGCCAGGCTTATTACATCAAGAAATCTCACTTATTGCATTTGATTTTATTTTGATAAAGCGTAGTGTCATGTACTAATTTTAGACAAAAAAAATATACTACATATTGTAACAAATATGACGTATCAACACAGTATCCGTATATTCCGATCACAAAATTAGGACTAGGGAGCACTTGTTTTTCACCATTTTTGGCCACCGTCGTGACACTGTGCAACCTAGGTCCGAATTCTAAGCAATTTGTCTGAGATTGTTTTTGTTGTACAGTTTTTTTTTCTGCTTCTGGTAACATTTGTGACAAACAAGCAAAATAAATGGAGTGTGTTTCTCTTGCTAGAGAGTTCCTTTTGTGCTTGTACGTTTTGGTGAATATAAATTCGTAATTGTTGTCGGGCGGTCGGGGAAACAATGTGTTTGTTAGCCGTGGCGTAAAAAAAAAATATATTTTTTTTTTTGTGAAGCGAGAGAATGCTTACATTTTATTGGTACCAGATTTTAATATTATTCCCAGAAAATGTATGTGATAATTTGCATTTTATACATATTAAACAGTTATTACTGAAGAATAGTCGACTGTTGTTGCTACTTGCATAATATGTACATCAGAACTTCATAAAACCTTTTTTCCAAATTCGTACAGAAAACTATTAGAAACTCGGTATATAATATATCTTTCGGTCAGAAGTCGGATCGAATTCCCATCCGAAGTCGGAAGATCTCGAATACTGCTTATTTACTTTAAATAAATATTTTTGTGCTCAAGCTTAGGTGCAAATCAAATGCAATCAAGGTAAAAAATAAGTAAAAAAGCTGTAAGTTCGGCCAGGCCGAACAAATTTTGCAATTTTCAAAAAAATTAAATCCGATAAAAATTCTGTTAAAATCTTAAAAGTACCAAATGTAGCCGTCTTATTAGGGTCTAAACGACGACATGGTAGGTGACTTCTATCATAAGCCATTACAATATTCAAACGCGAAACTTAAAAAAATGTGTGAATAATGTAACTAAAATTATCAATATAGGGAGGTATTTTTATATGGGGCTTATACCAAAATGTGGACCTGCACAGATAATTTTCTGCCTTAGGCTCCAGTATTCGTTACGAATTTCAAATACCAAACTTGAAACAATTCCGGTGAATAATGTCGCTGAAATCAGCAGAATAATGAATATCTGGAGGCACCGTTATACTGGGGCTATACCAAAACGTGGACCTATACTGCACATTTTCAATACCAAAAGTCCTGCAGACAGTATATACAAGAATATATATACTTTGTGGGGTCTAAAATGTATATTTCGAGGTGTTACAAACGGAATGACAAACTTAATATACCCTCTATACTATGGTGGAAATGATCAATTTGGACCCAACAAATTATTTTGTCAGCAGGCAGGCCATGTTTGGAGATAAGCTACATTGGTCATCGTTTTTATATAGGCCTCATATAATTGGACCTCCCCATGTTCGATGTTTTGGCAATCGTAGCTACATTTTCCAACGGAATAGTTTAAGATTCGGTATTTAGAGGTTACGTTTTCATATAACCCTCATATAATGGTACCTCCCGATATTCGGTATTCAATGATTTTAGTCAAATGTTTTTTACAGAATTTCGGTATCTGGAGTTCGTAATGCTTTTTTAAAACTTTTGGAACAATATTGTCTATTTTAGCCACGTTGTTTAACATGTCGATAAGGATTCTACCTCCTGTAGCATTTTATAGTATTTTGAAGAATATAACTGCATGTCGATTACAGTTGCAAAAATGCAACTCGTTCGAATATAAAATCCCTTTATTTTTTAATGGTTTTTTACCTCATGTTGGAGGGTATTTAAAGTTCAGCCCGCCCGAACTTAATACGGCTTTACTTGTTGTTTATTGTATCATCAACGTCCGATACATATTGCATTGCGTAAAATGGTAGTTCTTCCATTGTTCTTATTTTGAAATATAATATGCAGTTCTTAATTGTATTTGATTTGCTCCTAAGCTTGAACACAATTTTTTTTTAAAGTAAATAAGCTGTATGCGAGATCTTCCGATTTCGGATGGGAACTCGATCTAACTTCTTCGATCCGAAAGTTATATTATATACCGAATTTCCAATAGTTTTCGGTCCGAATTTGGAAAAAAGATTTTTTAAGTTCTGATGTACATATTAACAACATCTTTCATAATGTAATGTCAAGAGCAAGTAGCAATAACAGTCAACTATTCTTCAGTAATAACTGTTTAATATGTATAAAATGCAAATTATCACATACATTTTCTGGGAATAATATTAAAATCTGGTACCAATAAAATGTAAGCATTCTCTCGCTTCACAAAAAAAAAAAAAAACATATTTTTATGCCACCGTCAACAAACACATTTTTTTGCCCTACTGCCCGACAACAATTACGATTTTTTATACACCAAAACGTACAAGCACAAAAAGAACTCTCTAGAAAGAGAAACACACTCCATTTATTTTGCTTGTTTGTCACAAATTATACCACACAAGCAGAAGAGAAAAAACTCTAAAAAACAAATTTCAGGCAAATCGTTTAGAATTCGGACCTAAGTCGCACAGTGTTTTGGACCAAAATGGTGAAAAGCAAGTGCAAGTGCAGTCCTAATTTATTGATCGGAATATACGGAAAACATATCTATCAAAAGAAACCTGAATTTTTGTGTTTATACGTCAAATATTTGTTACTATATGAGGATTTAAATCCGTCTATTGTAGTATATTTTATGTCCTTTTTTGTCTAAAATTAATATATGATATTCAAACTTATAACATCGGTCACAATAAATGCAATTAGTAAGATTTCTTGATGTAATAAGTTTTTATTTGCGTGTAAATACTGATCATATGATGTTTACTCTTGCCTGAATACGAAGTACTCACTTCATCACTTTACTAAAGCAAATTTTGGAATTATTAGGGTGGGAAAATGTTTGTATAAAACTGTAAATCGATTTTATTTGTTCTTTGATTTCATACGAACTCGTCAATGTCGGACAAAACTTCAAACTTTGAGCAGATGTGTTGGACGTTGGACATTTCGTTGGTTAACTATGTCAAAGTCTGACTAGGGATAGGTAATTAACTGACCTTTAGTTCTGTTCGTTTAGTTCGATTCGAATTTGACTTGAATAATTGATAAGCATAATGAAATTGGATCTAGAAACTTTCTTCCCTTCTTCAAAAAAAGATATTGAGGGAATCTATGACTCAGATTAGGAACTTATAAAATTAACAGTCAAAAGGGTAAACATCCAGTCCCACTTTACATAAATTTTCCAATGTAGTTTTAAGAAAGGCAAGTACGTAGATATATAGTTTATTCTGAGACTTTTAGCAAAATTTGGTGCAAAATATTTAAATTAAAAAATTAACTCCTTTAAAATACTTTGTATCCCTACATCACCTAACAACTTACCCTGATCTGAGCTTACAAGATAAAACACAATTGGAAGATTTAACAGCTTTAATCTTAACAAGTTAAAAAGCAGTAAGTTCGGACGTGCCGAACTTTGAATACCCTCCACCATTTAGAACGAATATGAAAAATAAAATATATAAGTAAAAAGATAACATTTATTAAAAATTCTGTTAACATTTGAAAAATACCGAATATAGCCGTTATATTTGAGCCTGTACGACGTGCACCTTCATAGGCATTGTTTGTCAAAAGCCATTACCATATTCAAATTCGAAACTTGAAATAAACGGTGAATAATGTAGGGAGGTACCGTTATATAGGAGCTATACGAAGACCTGGACCTGCATAGACAATTTTCTGTCACAGACTGTAGTTCCCATTACGAACTTCAAATACGTAATTTGAAACTACTACGGTGAATAATGACGCTA